ACCCTCATGCTCACCAATTACTCTGGAAAGTATTTTATTTTTTAAAATTAACCTAACTGAAAATTTGTGCAAAGGAAGTTAGTGTGTATATATTTATGCAATCAACAAAAGCTCCTATGGCTGAGGTAAATGGCCAAGTGTATTTCTGCAAGAATGAACAATAAGAAAAGGTGACATTTAGCTTGGCTTGACACTTGGATAACTTCCAATAGCCCTGACTCACTTGACTACAGACTTTATCAGCTGTGGTCAGAACACTGCACACATTCAGACCAGGAAAACGGCTACAGAAAGGCGGACCAAAGTGGCTGCTTTTTTTCTTTTCCATTTTTTTTTTTCTCTTTTCAATTTAGAAAGGTAACAATCTTAATGACATGGCCTGGAAAGCCTCAAGAGTTCTGCAGATATACCATGTTTTGAAGAACAGGATAGTCTTTCCTCTTAAAATACCATCAAGGACCATTCACATGAGAACAGAAGAGCAGTGACTAAGATCTTTATAAATAGGAGCTGAAAGCTGGGTTGCTAAATCCATATTTAGCCAGCTATAGAAGTTGACCTGATTTTCAAATATGCCAAGCACCCTCTGTGTTTCTGTCATCAAACACCATTTGGGTTTTAAGAGTGTCCAGCATACTTGAAAATGAGGCCACTAATTTTAGAGCACAAACAGGAATCAAATGGTTATTTGATCAGGCTATATCAGGTACCTATTTGATCAGTTATTAACATCAGGCTGCTGTTTTGAAAATGTCAGTATCTTGCTTAGAAGATTTCCTAGATCTACTAAATGAAATTGCTATAAGAATAGCCAAACTAGGTCCAAGGGACCATTTATCCCCTTATTCTGCTTTCAACAGTGACTAGGGCTAGATGTTTATAGGGAAAATGTAAGAAGAGGCTAAATAGAAGGGGACATTTTTCATATCCTCCTAGCACTCAGCAACATGTCATGCTGCTGATCAAGTTATTGATAGACAGTGCTCTGCTTAAGTATGTTTTTGGTGCTAGCACTCATTACAGAACCATGACATCTAAAGTACATTAATCCAAACAGAAAAAAAAAGCAGTAATCTCATGTTATTCAAAACATTCCTCCCAGAAAAAAAAAAAAAGATGACTGTAGTTTCTAAAACTGTACTTCAATTCAAAGTAGACAAGGGTTTACAAACCTCAGTGTAGTACAGTAAATATAAACCCTTGCCTGTCAAAGAGTAGGAAGATCGCTGGCAGTTTCCAGGGCCCTAGAAGTGCAGCAGATTAGTGTAACTGAAAAATGCTACAGAGTTAGCAAAGAAGCAATAATGACTTTTGTGCTAAAACACCTCTTATGTAATTATGCAAGAAAAGCCAGGAACACAAGCACTCACTCAGGTGGCACAAAAAGTTTGACAGAAACTCCATGGACAAAAGACTTTTTTTTTCCCCTTGAGGGAATGAAAAAGAACAAGGAGTTCAGGCCTTCAGGTCCTGCCAAAAGGAGAGTAAGGCCTTGTAGATAGTAGATGATTTCAAGGATTTCAAACGGGATCAGTAAAACTGGATTGATTTTGATAGAGTGATTTTAAAACACGAACAACAATGGAAAGCAGAGCCTCCTCTTTCCCATTTGCAGTCTTTCCGCCAGGACTGTTCACATGAGTAATTCCATTGGCTCACATGAAGGTGTTTCCAAAAGAGAAATAACTCCAGTATTTAAATGCTAATGTAGTCTACATTCAATTCCTGAGTGCACAATGCAAGATCATTAAACAGATTAAACCATGAAGCTACATTTAGTGTCCTGATTCTAACCTGTTAGCTCTCAAGAGTACATTAATGATTGCTACCTCTCCCTGTGCTGTGAGGCCAGAAATCTCTTACCTGAAAAAAATCTAATGAAGAGCTCTGAAGTATTTATGGTCTGACACACAACCCTTTTCTTCTGCTCAATCCTATCTGTTGGTTATAGAACTTAAAATTAGATAAAAAGTGGTTAGATATTTATGAAATCCTCTATCTTCTACAGAAAGCACTGAATCTTTAGTCTTTAAGCTATCTAAAACCTGCTTCACAAAGTTTTTTCTTTTTCTTATGTACAGTTTAACATAATATTGCTGACAGTGATATGTGGGCTCTCTTACTAAACAAACAATATTTCAGTACAATTCAGTACTTCAGATACTTCAGTATCCTGAATACTTTGCTTGAACTAAAACTAGTGCAAAACCAAGAAAGTAGGCAAAATTAAATTCCCCAACTTCAAAGGCCAGCAGGAAGTAAGAAGGGATGATTGTGATTATTATTATAACTAATAAAGATCCTGTTTCCATACAGAAGTCCATAGCAAATTAAAAACACAGGAGGAGATGCACAGAAAACCTAAGTAACATGCATATCCTTTCAACCAGAGTTTTTCCCACAAAGCGTCTGCTAGACTCGAAGGAAAACGCAGCAGATGGATCCACGGTAGCGGCCGCTGGAAGAGACAACTTAAAGCCCCCAATCAGCTTGTGCCATGCCAGAACTATCATCACTTCATACCCTTCTGAAATGTTGGAGAAATAGCCCCCTTAACTCAAGGGAAGTATTTGGAGATATAAAAAGCACAGTAAGTATCAGCTAATGAGGAACAGACAAAGAAAAGTGCCAAATGCTGTAAAGCCCTGATACTTAAGATAATGACTGAAATTTATGACTGCTTCCTTCCCTGGCAGACAGGAGTACAATTAGAACTCTCAAAACAACAGCCCCTTTTGTGCTGGCATGCTGTGTTGTGTTTATATGGCTACAGATAGACTAGAAGATTAAAAAAAAAATAGTACAGCACCCTTTTAAACCCCAGATAATAGCAAACTTTTTAATGTGGGTTTGGGCATGGTTTTGTGCATAACTTATTCCCAACTGAAGTTACTCAGGCAATTATCATTACTTGGGCAGGAATTAACCATTTAAGTAACTCACTACAGGCAGAACCCTCTGAAAATCACACAAAACAAGAATAAGCATGCTGTATGAGTCACTCCAATTCCCTTTGCTGTCCAAATACAGCTTGACATTTAAACGGCTTAAATTATCCCTTTATTTCAATTTTAAAAAATTTGAATGTGCTTGACTTGAGAAACTGCAGAATGAAAAGCACCAGGAAGTATGTATGTCCTTCCTTTCATCCTTTACCTGTATCCAGTGATACAGATCACTTGGAACTGACTCATTAGAATAAGGAAATACAAGCACAGGTTTTCTCATCTCATTCACAAAGGAGATTGAAAAGCACTATTGCAAAAATATTTAGCATATGCAATACGGACTCAACTAATCACAGATAGTTTAACATCAGAATATCCTATAGGCCTTTCTCCATACAAATTCTGGGAAAGCTACACGCAAAGGAAGCTCCAACAGCTTCCCAAAGAGCAGAGCAGAACATCCGCAACTGAATCTTTAAGATTTCCCCTGTTGTGTGTTCTGACATTCTAGACCTCACATCTCTCCCCCTTTTCTCTTTCATTCCATACTCAGTGTGCATCTTCACCCTCAGAATTCCACTGATCTCTTGCAATACAGCTCAGCAAGAAGGCTTTCCTCATCTACAGCAATGGTCACACCAGCCTTCTAGTACTATGTCTTTTGAACTAGAGGAAATGACTGAGTAGTTCTCTTGATTTCATATGGCTTATAGAACACAACACACAACATCACACTTCACCAGTACGGCATTTAATTCCAAATTAACAAAATTTATGTGTCAAAGGAGAGAGTCATCGATTTTTCAAGTCTAGATCTTCATAAAATACTAAATGCAAACCTATACCAAAAATAATACTGTATTACACACTACAGGGATTTACCACTTTCATCCCTGATGAAAGCGCAAGAGAAAGGAAGAGGCTCCTGTAAGCCCCTTGCAAGCTTGCAAGAGAAAAGTTGGAAAAAGAAATCTGGACGAAGAAGAAAGATCCATGTATCATGAAATGGAAACTTTCATTATGTGGTTAATTATAGTGTTTTGGGTTTTTTTTAAAAAAAAGGGAGAGGAAAAAAAAACGGAAAACCTTCTAGCTCATCTAAGCACTTGGGCTGGCTTCACTCATGTGCAGTTTGAAGATCACACATAAAACTTAGCTGACAGCAGTCTCAAAGAGCTCAATACTACCAAACCAATAGTCTGGAAATATGCTTTTCCTTTCCGTTCACATCTTTCTAACAAAATTTTGTCTTGAATTTTTCCATCGACTGTTTTTTCAATAATGCATCTGCTTAAAGGCATCTACTCTACTGTTAGCAGTATTCAAATAGTGGAAAAAACAAAAACTGTATTTCATTCTCTGCTTTTAATGCAAACTACCTCATTAGTATTTTAAATAATACTAAAAAAAAAAAAAAAAAAAGAAAAGAAAAAGAAAAAAACCCAGACACTACGTGTCAATGTTATTTGCTAGACATTTCTATGTTACTAATAGAGCTGAAATTTTCTTGTAGTTCTGGACAACTGGAATTTAAATTACAAAAAGAAAAGTATTTTCTTATTCTTTTTACTCTCCACAGCTCCATGAATATTTGATAATACAATCTTCACAGTTTGTCTCAGTTTTCAAAGCCCAATTTTCAATTAGAAAATCATAAATCAAAACAGCCTCACGAATAAACACTATAGCCGAATTTTAGTGTATTCTTACTCTGTTAAGACATAATGGGAAAATTGTTACCGAAAGAAAACAGCACAGAATGGTACAAGTATTAAGCAAGGAATTAAACTGAACAAGTTAAAATAACTTTAATTCGGCTAATGAAGAAAATTCAGAGCCACAGGTCTAACAAGCTTGTATTTTCCTTCCATGAGTCCTGTTCAACCTAAAACTTACAGCATAACGGCTGCAAATAGCCCTGTCAACATGAAACAAGAATTAGAGTTTAAAAATTGGCTTAGTAAAATGTCACAGCAACCTTACATTGAGAGAAATTTGACACTGTTCTCTGATAAAAACAAAATAAAAAGGAGATACTAAGATGTTCTTTACCTAGCCATTCCCAGACTGGAAAAGTTGGAAGGGACTATCAAAACATCAAGCCTGGAGAAGGGATGGGTCCCCAGGGTGGTGTAGGCAGCGGAGAGGCACTGGGGAAGTAGCCAGAGTGCAAGATCCTTGCAGCTTTCCATAAGGCACCAGGGAGCAAAGACTCTATAAGGAATGACTGACTGCAACCTCATGTCAGGATTTTGGAAACGGCAGGGATACTCCACATGGCCACAGCGTTCTTCATGCCACCTGACAGTAAGAAAAATGCACAATAGTTTAATGATATCAGAAATATGCACAATTAAGTATATCAAGATAAGAAAGTTTTCTATACAATAGAAAGACAGAACTACAAAGCTGGATCACAAAGCCAACTCATTTGTATTCTCATGATGTTCACATACACACAGCAGTGAAAAAAATAGGCTGAAAGTATTAATATATGTCTGACTAGAATTAATGCAGTTTGTCTTAACTAGAAGTAAATGAGACTGGTCAAGACTTGTTTTTATAACAGTTACGTATCAAAAGAACATGTGTTTAAAATGTAAATTTAGAAAACCAAGTAAGTACGTAACAATAAAAAAGATACATTGCTCAGATATTTTTTAAACATTGTAAAGCATCATGAATACCTACACATAGCTACCCAAATAAGATCTATTTTCTCCACAAGTAAATTATATGCAATTAGAATGAAATGCAAAGTTCTGTGGGTTTTACTTTAACTAAATAATTTTCCATGAAAACTGGTAAATTCTCTTTTCCCCCTAAGTAAAGAAATGTAGTAGATACTAATTCAGATTTATCAGCATGAACATTTTAAGATATCACATTAAGATCAAGCTTGTTTTACATTAGTTTTACAGGATGTTCAAAGTTGTAGCTTGAAGGAAGGGGAAATCCAGTCTTTCCCTAACACTGAGGCAGATACTTTTAAGATAATTCATCTTCCCAAATAAATTCATAACTAAGGAGAAATTTGCTTCATGTTTTCACCTGCTAACTTGTCTTCTGTAAGATGTACTTCTTCCTTGGTTTCATATTTCAACATAAGGGAGCTGGTTCTACTATGCCTTGACAAGCAAGGCACTTACTATCATTGCACGAGGCATCACTTCAAGCAGTTATATTTGTAAGATCATGCTCCAAGTGAGTGCTGATACACAAAACAAATGATAGCACACAGAGCAGCACATTTTTTCTCAAGTGCCAACATTTTAACATCTTATATAACTCTTTCCCAGAAGAAGTCCATTTCTTCGGAAAGAAGTGAACTCTAAGCTATATGCAAGGGAACTACATCCTACTACTCATCATCATACATTTTTTTCCAAGGGTGGTCTGAACCAGTACCTTTCTGATCTAAAAGAATGGCAGTTCGTACCTAACCAGAACAGTTGAGATCAGGTAAGCACATGAAGCTAACAACCTATTTCCAAAAAAAAAAATTGCCAATGAGTCTTTAATGACCACAGGGAGATAGAAATCTTATTTCACATCCTAGCTCAATTTTGTACTTTCTATGGTATGACTTGGAACTGTATCTTCTTTCAGACTGCTCATTTCAGATTGCCTGCCACCTGCAACAAATGATGCTACACATTAAGATAGCTTCTTTCAGAATTCCTTCTTTTTGAGCTTGCTGTGCATTAAAGGCAATATACAGTGATGACCAACTACTGATGTACTTCTATAGAAGCACTCATCCCATAAATATATAAATAGCAGGAAAATAAATACAAAACAATCTCTAAAAGCACGTCTGACATACAAACCATCTTAAAGCCTCAGTGTATATGTCTTACTGACCTTAGATGAAATACAGAAGTTCTTATACTTACGACTTATATGGATTTTTTTTAACAAATATTAGCCAAGTTATAACCTATTAGAATACTTTAATTTCAAAATTGTATTCACAGATATCCTTCACTCAGTTTCCAAAGTCTCACTAGCTCTATCAAAGTGACTGCCACAGCCTTAATTTTAGTATGGTGTTAGTCCTAAAACAGCTGTCTGTTAGGTAAGTATTTTTAGGTTGTTAGGTAAGTATTTTTAGGTCAAGCTTCTAAATCCATTATAAAAAAGGCCTTAAGGAACTTGACAAGTGAAGGTAACGTGCAACATCTGAAATTCTGTTAACTAGCAAGAATACATATGGAAACAAGCTACTGTTCCAGGGAATTTATTTTTAGTCTGAATTGTCATTTGTAGGTTTATATATAATTTAAATATAATAATAATAATTTAAACCTGATGATCACTTTCAGCTACAATGGACGGATAGATATAAGTGTCCATAACAACTGCATTTCTACAGTTTTGGTGAAATATGGCCAACTAACCATTTTGTGTGCTGGAAAACAGACTATTTTCTATTAAGCAGAGTGCCTTTCTGCCTTTCTTTTAAAGGACAGCTGCAATATGTCATCCCAGGGAAACCACTGCATAGGCCTGCTCTAAGTCTGGGATGGGACTGTAGAGGATAGGAAAGGAAAAGCAGGTGACTAGGAGTGAGTAGATAGTACTGTAGTAGAGGGCATTAATGATCCAGAAGGGACTGAGACTTTAGAAAAGAAAGATCTTCCAGTGGTTGTTTTAAGAAACACTGGAGGAGCTGGTGTTATTGCAACAAGAGATGCAGGATGCAAATCAGAGGATATAAGGCTTCTTTAATCCTGTTATTCACTAAGCAGTCTGTTCTTACATAAAAAGATCCACACCCTTACCCATGAAATAATACCTCTGGAATTACTTCCCTGTCAAGATTTGGCTCTTCAGATTAAACATGTTCTGTTTTGATTCCGGTACTGAAATGACTCACTTTAACATTCCATGGAATAAATAAAAATGCTACACAAATATCTTATTTTTCAGAAGCAGTTGAAACACACACCTATAATCAGCTTTGGAAAATGGCAAAGAAAAGTCACTGTTTGTCCAAACATTAGTGGTGAATGGCTGCTGTTTAAATTCCTGCCAGCATCCAATGGCAATAGTGAAGGTAGATGCAGGCATCGGCATAGTCACGTAGTAATACCAGCTCAAGACACCTGCAAGCAAAGAGAACATTTGTACAGAATCATCAATCACAGAGCCAGTATTGGGAATTATAGTGTATTTGGATGCTGCGAAAGCCTCCCACCACAGAGCCACACAGCTATGATGAAGAAGGGAAAATTTCAAAGGGATACATAAAAGTGGTCATAAAAACTGACCATGGATTCCCTATCACTCCCTTCTGTCTGCAACTTCCTTTATTTATAACACCTCTACCTTTACATTAAATGCTACTATCTGCTGGTTTCTTCAGCTATTAATAAACAAACACACACAGATCCCTGCCCGCATCACTCTCCCCAGAAAAAGAAAACAAATCCCACAAGTCTTACAACCTTTAATCACCACTAGTCTCAACTATATTATCTATACAGAAACCTTGTATTTGAAATCAGAACAACACAAAATGGGTAAATAAGATTTAACAAACAACACTAATGAATCAGGACTGGCAATCTGAGGTATCTGATATGCCAGCCTGGCAGTGAGCAATCAAAGCTTGAAATCAGATGTGATATTGCCAAAGTCAATGATTTGGTTGTGATAATCCAGGAGCTGCTATAACAAGATTAGGGAGTCTATTTGAAGCTAAAATGATGATATCTCTTATCAGTATGGGAACAAAGTGCAGGAAGATGGCGAGTATAGTATAGGATGACTCTACATGTGAATCAGTTTGGAGGTTGCTTTAGCACACTATACTTTTCATTAGGTAAGCTTTTGCTTATTTCTACCTTCTGTTTCTTTAGAAAAGGTGAGGTTCAAGGACCACATTTGAGGACTCATTTGTGCCCTCAAATACAATTGCTACATAGCACTAAATAGGTTAATTGTACATGGAAAGAGGGTAACATGAGGTACGACCTACCAAATCATGTGCAAGTAAGTAGAGCCACGGCAACTATGGAAACACATTGGCTGTAGTTTTCAAGTGATAACTCCAATATCAATACATATGCAAAAGTATTCTGAATAGGAAGGAGGGAAGGAGGGAAGGAGGGAAGGAGGGAAGGAGGGAAGGAGGGAAGGAGGGAAGGAGGGAAGGAAGGAGAAGAGAAAGGAGGGGAAGGAGGAAGGGACGGAGGGGGGGAAGGGGGGAAGGAAGGAAGGAGGGAGGGAAGGAGGGAGGGAAGAGCAAACGTAAACAGGAGTGCAAGCGCGAAGGAAAGAACGAAGGAAAGAGTGAAGGAAAGAAGGAGGTTAGGAATCAATCCAATAGCTGTCACAACGTAAAAAGTGCTGCAAAAGAAATATCTGAACAGCAAAGTATCTCTTGGTCTCCTAGCTTAAGTCCAGGCTACTCAAAGAAAGCACATGCTACAAGTTTTTTCTCTTAGCCTCAAAAACTGTTGCCACCAACTCCTTAAGGCACTGCTGTTTGCAGAGCTCTGTGGGAGGCCCACAAAGCCTCTGCTTCGTACAGGCACTGGCAACCACTTGTATTCCCCAACTCCATGCCCTTTGACAAGATCCACCACTGGTACCAAAAGCTCTGGTTTGTAGTACTTGTACCTTACTCCTGTAACTTTGCTGACCTCTCATCAGCATATGAGCTGAAAGAATTTGCTTCAAACACATGAGAAACAAGCAGGATAAATGTTTTACTAAAATGCCTTTTTGACTAACTTACAAAAGCCAGGAATAAGCCAAGGCAAGCAAACTGCATCTCGAGAGAAAGAGGCCACCAAGGACAGCACTCTTATTTTATTAATTTGAAATACTAAATTCTTGGCCTTTAGAGCTTCACTGCATAAGGCTTGGCCACTGGCTTTAATGGGTACAAGGACAGGTCCAGAGACAGTCTACAGTATTTTGTGCAGTTGCCATTAAACTAGAAGTGTGACAAAATGCAGTTTGCTACTGATAAAATCCCAGGGTTAAGTAGCAGTGAAGAGAGAAAATCTGAAAAACAGCAATATGTTGACAATAGGGTCCTGTAGCAAGCCCAAGTGGCAAGCTGTAGCAACACAGCAAACTGTGTCAGGTGGCAGGACTTGTAGGGGAGAAGGTTCTCACAACATTAAGGAGACTGTCTGAAAGCAAAGGGAAGAGGCCTGCGCTATGCAAACAGCAGGAGTAGAGAAGGCTACAGTGAAAAATGAGGTTAAAAAGACAGCCTGGAGCAAACAAGACTACAGAGTGATTTAAAAAACAAGTTGGGTAATTTGGACAGGATGTCAAAGGGGACAGGGAGTCACTTTAGTGATCTGGAGACCAGACCAGCATCCATTACATCCAGCGTTTACAACAGATGTACACTAACCTGGAGCAAACCTTGCCAAAGCCTGTAGACGCCAAATGCAAAGGAAGTTAATTTTGTTCTCAATATGGGCTTTCATGCCACTTTAAATTAGGATTTCTTTTTAAAAGAAAAACAAAAATAAAGGAAAAAAAAGAGGGCAACTGACATGCAGATCCTTTATTTTTTTCCAAGCTTCCTACCCTTCATCTGGGCATTACAGGGACCATGATACGCCCAGTACAAGATCTAAGCCTACTAGATACTATACATCCAACAGTGTTCAATTCATCCTACAGAGCCTTCGGGTACCTCCAACATTCACACCCTGCACTCTGCAAGACAACCAATATATTTACCCTACAAGGCCATTCCTTGAAGGAGTTAACAGAAATCCTGCACATTGGCATGGCTTGTCATTGGCATGCCGAGCAAGTTCTCCATGGTGTGTTCCCTGTTCAGTGACTGATCTGGTCCTTGTGCAGGCGACATTTCCTACACCACAACCACCACCACGTCTGGTTCCAGAGTCCAACTCTCATGTATCTTCTGTCTCCTCCTCTCTCAGTGGAAAGGCTGTCTTTCGGCTCTCTGGAGCTCTTCACAGCTCCAGTTTCTTTCTTTAATTTTCCTCAGACCTGTGTTTTGCTCTGTATTCTTCCAGCTACATCCCTGTCTTGCTGTGCTCTCGCCTACCCCGCTTGCTCTCCCTTCTCCTGCTTCCTGCTTCGCAGTGGCTCCCTTGGAGACAGCACCACCTCTAGGGAAGCGGAGAGCAGTGCAGCTGAAATGGGGAAACGGCGACCTCCCTTCGCCAAAAATACCCACCTGCAAAGGCATCTTGGGAGGACCGGGATATCGGGGAGGGTTTATATCATTGGGAAAATAGTGGGAGAACAGCCTGCTCATTTATTTGCAATGTTTACTCCCTCTCCCTGCAAACAATCTTGATTTAGCAGCAAACTGCTCTCTATACATACTTATTTTGGACAATACAGAGTATTTTCTGACTGGTAATTTTGAAAATCATTTTCCAAAAATTTATTTTTTTCCCCACTTCTTAAGACAAATCTATCCTATTATAATGACATAAGCCATGCAAAAATAATCACTGTCGTATGATGTACAACTGGAAAATATCCCATTTAAAATTATTTAGGAGTGCACTTAACACGAGTAGGAAATTATAAGCTATTTATAAGTGTGCAAAAAAATTCAAAGGCAATTTATTTCCTGGTATTTGAAATAATAATGATGTTAGGTAATTACTTCCTAGAATTTTCAATGCATTTAACCTATCTCTGAAGCCATTAAAATCATATTTTGAATCCTGCTGAATCCATTATAACTAAAGAAATACTTGAGAGTCAGGATCTCTTAACACCTGATGCAAGAAAATTGAAATATTTTTACTTATTAATGTCCTTCTTCTCAAGTAGCTTGCAGTAACACAAATAAAACCACTGTAAGATCTGCAGGCTGTATATGACTTACTTAAAAACCACAGGTCTGTTACCTCTGGTGGAAAGGGCAGACTGCCTAAAGGGCCCAATCCCACCGCTCAGCACCATAGCTTTGATGCTACAACTTGCTATGATTTGATGCCATGGATGGACATCAGTCCACATGAGCACGACTCACGGGTCACACACGGGTCAACACGGCCGTTTTACCCGTGAAAGGCGACAGAAACACCAGCAAAGGCTCGCTGCAACACGAGCAACGGCTGTTCTAGCACCAGATGTCTTCCCACCACTACTTCCCACACACCTTTTATAGCTGGAATCAAACTGAAACAAGATGGAAATTCCAGGATTGCAGAAGGATGAGGGAACTGCACAATGAGGGAGCCATTGCATTTACCCCGAATTGCTGAACATGTGTTTCTTGAAAATGAACCAAAACAAATGTAAAGGGGTTTGTGACTAAATATATTTGCATGTTGCGTGGGTTAATTGCTGAAAGTAACACTGGCAGGTGTTGAAAAGAGTTCAGGGATTAAGCGGTTCACATTACACATGCATAATACATATTTGCATATACACACACACACACACATTTATGTTTATATACATACACACACACACATATATTTATGTTTATATACATACACATATATATGTTATATATATATACACACACATATATATTGAGTGTTGCCTGTAAACTTTTTCCCCGAGGGCATGACCAGCTGCATTTTTGATGGAAGCATTTTTTTCTCTCATGTTTCCTAGAGTTCCTAAGGAATCCCAAATCCTAATATCCCAAAAGGAATATTTTGAGCACTTTTAGATCACATTCACATGGTTACTATTTGCACTTGAGTATGCATATACACAGACGAGGAGATGCACTGGAGACCAGACCAGCATCCATCCATCCAGCATCCAGGAGGTGCAAGTACTTGTGAGAAATGAAGAATCTGTACATATGATTGCGCTCAGTCTGGTCTATGCCCAGTAATCACAGCTTCTGTACATCTAGAGATGTTGGCCAGTGAAGCAGCATGCAGAACTCTGCTTAAATGCAGGATGGCGTCACCTTCCCTGTCTTTTCTTGGTATCTGCACACAGAATTTTAAATATATGATTTTTAAAGAAAGGAAAAATCTAGCTAACTTCAAGTACTATCCATTCACAACTGCTTGGCAGAAATGTTTTTTCTCTACAAGAAACTGCATTCAAAAAGAAAAAAAAAAATATATATATATAGGGGTTCTGCCAGTTGCGTATGATCTTATAAATATGCATCACAGCAATAGTATATCATATGTAAACATTTTGAGAAAGCTCTTATATCCATTAGGCCACCCCGAAAGGCTTTAAGAGCTGTATGTATAATGACACGACAAGATCCATGTGGCGCAGGCCATGTAACAGTACAGATCATTTCGAACTTTAACTCTTAGAAGCCCTCCTTACTAAACCAATGAATCTAAATTTCTGTTTTCAAGGCTTCATATTAACACTTGAGCTTTGAGTTTTTTTGAATCATTCCTCACAATATTGCTCCTTCTCCTTCTGTCCTCTGTAACTGCTTCACATCTTTTTACAAGTTAAAGAACACTCTGTAACGGTGACTTGCAATGTCTCTCTGTAGATGTGCACTCACATAATGGGGCTCTCATAATTAATTGAGAAGCTACTGACACACAGTCCCTAGCACTTTCAAAGAAACCCAAGCACCTTCTCATAGTGATACTATTAATTAGGACAAATAATGAATGGTGTGAGCTGCACAGAGCCATATGTAGACTCCTCCACACCATAAGAAATTACATCTTGGGGAAAAGACTGAAAAACTGTTAAGCGAAGATATACAACATTTGCTCCTGCTGCTTCACTTCGGTTCTGTAAAGTTCAGCAGAAATAACATTCCCACTGTCACACAGCTCCCAGAGAAGCCAGCTTGAATGCTGCATTTGCTTCTTCCCAGCGCACTTCACGTTTCTCACTCAGCACATCATTAGCACAGTGAAGTCATTTCCCCTCTGCTGGGCTTTCCATTAAGGACTCTTAGAGTATTTCTTGCTTTCATGAAGTTCTTAGGGATAGAAATATACCACGTTAGACTTTGGAAAATTTAAAAAAAAATAACATTAAAAGAAAAGAGAGAGAGAGAGAGAGAGAGCAAGGAAGCTTTAAACTGACTTATAAATTACCAAAAAAAAATCAATTAATTGCAACTACTATAAAGATTTAAACTTAATTCTTTTCTATTCTATAGAGTGACAATGTTGATTTGGGATGACTAAGCACCAGTTCTGTCTTTAAAGACTGGGTACCCTGATGTCATTATCAACACTCCAAAAGCAAAAAATCCATCCCCCCGCAAAAAAATTCCCCAAACTACTACTTCTTTACTTAAAAGAGAAGTGTAGATTCTTAATAGGTTCTTTAAATCAAAGAGTGAAAAACAGTTTTGATAATGAAATAATTCTTCCACAGTTCAGCTTTTTCAGGTAGCTAATACAGGAGAATTGTATACAAATCTCAATTTAATTGTTCTGTTCTCCTGTTCCTACACAGGAGAATTGATTTTACCTAAACTTTGCCAAATTTCACAGTAGGAAAATCTTTCACAAGTTTCTATTTCTAGAAATTCACATAAGCATCCTTCTCAGTCTTAGTATTTTACACCAGGTAGCCACTGTTGAGAGCCTAACAAACAACAACTCATTAGCAGAGTGTGAGTGTGGATAATATTAATTACACAATGATGGCAGAGCTGTTTTCCTGCACTTAAGTCTGAGGCACTCTAGTATTCCCAATGCCAAGACAGGAAAGTATTACTGCCCAAGTGAGCTGAACAGCGAATCATAACCGTTTTCCACATTTCCGCAGTAGAGACAAGACTTGGAACAGGTTTTAGGTACAGTCAAAAAAAACCTCATGGTTCCATATAAACAGATTTACTGATGGTTCTGAAATCAAGGAGACTTTCATTCATTTTTTTTCCGAGAATAAAATTTAAGAGATGAGTTTTTAAAGCTCATTTCAGACATATCTAACACTAACCTTTTCCTGTAAGTTATTTATTACCAATCAAAACTTTAATACTTTTTACATAATGAAAAGCTTTCCAAGCATCCATGCAACCTCTGTTTTTTTTGGCCAAAAGGAAACAAAGTCATACATATCAAAATTAAATCTAAGCTACTTCTCAAATGCTTTAATATACACCTCAACTATTTTGGCCATCGCTGAACATAGGCATCAATCCTGTTCTGCAAGTGCTGAGAAATCAGCACTTCCTCTATGAGCAGCTTTTAAGATTTGCAAAAGAGACCTGTTCAAAACACTAGTAGCTAAGAAGTTCTTAAATTTTACCCAACAACTTGATTCAGGTTCAAAGGAAAAAATAACTCAAAGCAAAATGGTGATCGTTTTTCAGCCAGTGAAGATGGTGTACTGGTGTGCAACATCACATTGCTGTAAGAAAAGATTTTGTAAGGTTTGCAAGCCTAGAACTTGGCTAAGTGTTGTTACTGTCAGGAGAAAAAAAAAAAAAAAGACATGGTTGACATGTACTGCCAGACACTCTTCCAGGGATTCAGAAACAACAGCTTTCCTTAGGCCTATTTAGTACCAAAATACTTTTAAAGACACCAATGAAAAGGTTTGTGAAGCTGAGACTGATGTACCTTTTATTAAACAAGCCCATCCTACCTTCTTAAAGGAGGACTGTAAGCATGAAGATCTTGAATAACTGCGAAACTGAGTCTTTCAAAAACATTTGTAGGCAGACCTTTCTGGACAGTTCCAAAAGCTTCTTTTATCAGAAAGGATGAGATACACTCACTACACTCCTTATTTCATCTATAATTTATCTATTTCCTCTACAACTATAATTGTCTGTGGAGATGTAGGCATTATCCAACCATACACAGCATACCCTTTTTCCTTTACAAAGGCAAATGTATGCAATTATTTAACAATTTTAAATTACCTAATAAAAATTTGAATAACGCTTAGAAAACCTTTAGACAATCAAGTGAGCAGTGCTGCTGTTGGTATCCGGGAGAAGACGGGGGGAAGTGACACAGAAACCTGGAAATCCTTCCTGGGCTAGTGTTGGACTAGCTTCTACTTAAACTAGACCTTGCTAGAGCTCACCTCAAAACCAATGGTAGCAAGACATACTTTATAGCGATATGTTGCCTTAAAACCCTCCTTCTCTTTGAAGACAGAGATTTAAAGAATAAAGTAACTGACACAAAAGAAAAATGCTTCCTTTGGCCAGTTGCCTGACAATGCAAAAAACAAATCAGAACAAAACAAACAAACAAACAAAAACCTACAAAGACAGATATTCAAGATACTATTATACTTAATCCGTTTCATATTTTTCAGGAATTGAACATGATACAATGATAGATTCCAATCACTTCCACTGTCACTTACACCTGGACTGAAAAACTAATATTGGGTATTCGGTAATCTACCAAAACTTGAAGTAGTGAAGTGCCTGATATGGTCTGCCCGATGTTCACTTGCACCATGATTAACCCCAACTCAGAAATAAATAGAAGTAGTAAAACTAAAAGGCAGAAACCTTGCTTTCTTACTAAGTCACACTGACGCTTAAGCAGGTAATGTTTCCATAGGAAGAAACAGAGACTAAAAAAATATATATTTCAAGTACTTTTAAGACAAAAATTTCTTTTTTTTTTTTTAATCTCATAATTACTAAGCTATATTTCTAATAAGAAAATTATTTTAAATACTTTGCTATAGAACATATATTTCACCTTCTTGAACTGGAACAGGTTCTGCTGAGTTTTCACCGCTCATCAGTACAACAAACTGTGCATCTGTTCGGACAGTAGCTTGCCATGTTGACAACGCAATGGGTGGCTCTTGGCATGGGAAAAGGGCTCTGTTGTTTATCGGTGATCCCATCGTATAAACACATGGCCTGGATGGAAGGAAAAGAGAGACTAAATTTGCTTTTGGAATTACTACAGAAATTATAATAGCAAAGATTGAATTCATTTCCCTGACAAAGATCAAACCTACTGTACTACTGTTTTTAAGCATCTCAGCTACGTAGCTTTCAACGTCCATTTAATATGAACCAATCGAAGTACTATCTCAGTTATTTAGGTCAGAATGAACTAAGCAAGATTACTACAAAATATTTTTTACATAAAAAACAACAAACTCCTCCAGCCTCTGCACTCTCCTGCTTCCACATGAGCCATTCAGCTTCAGACAGGAACTCTCAGCTGAGCCTGTAGGGCCAAGCAGTGTCTTCCAGATGTCTTCAAAAGGCAACAGCATCCACAGTGTCTGCCTGAGGTCTTCAACTTGTTCTGCCATTAAATTCTTCACTGCACGGCTTGGGGGCTCAGCCTAAGTCAGTGCAGTTGGGCTAGTCTTTAGCCTCTTCTCTGTAAAAGGTCATAGCTAGCTGTGGTCTTTCAAACATCCCTTCTTCATGACGTGAGGAAGCACAGAATAGTCAACCTGCCTTTCACAACTGTGGCCACTGAGCATGTGATGAGAAGAGTGCAGCTTCCCTCTTGGACAAGGCAGGCCTCTTTCCCACTTTCCCAACTACCAGTCTTTCTGTGGTGTTGCACACTCTGCATTTTCTCTTCTCAGTAACCTCTTCAGCTACTGCCTCTTTCTGTGCAATTTTTCATAGCAACTTTTTTCTTACTAGCAGGCCAGCCATCTCCAGGAAAGGCCTTTTATTAACTCCTTCAAAGTGCCACTGCATAGAAGTAATAAATCTCATTTTGCCATTTTAATTGCGTTTAATTGCGTTTTTGCAGTTTCATCATGATTTCTAGTACTTGCATAACACCACCCTTCAGAAACAGTCATAGAGCGAACAGTTTTCAGATATAAACCACATAAAGCAATCAGTCAGCACTTTCTCCAGCTGAAAAACAAAGAAAATTTTGAACGCGTCACTTGATTCAGCTGCACGTTTTTGTTTGTTTTGTTTATTTGTTTTTTAAGCCCATAATAGTTTAAGCCAACATTCTGGGAGCACAACACATTACTTTGGAAGTATTTGAAGCTAAAAATATCTTGATCGGTTTCTGGCATAATTTGAGCAGGAAAAAAATCATCAAAACACTCAAGAAAGTTAGGCAAGTTGTTAGGTCAAAGCCTCTTCAGTGACAGGTAAGATACAAGTATCTTGTTTATTTCACCCAAGTATTTCATCCATCCACTCAAACAATTCCTTATCCAAAATCAAATCCAGGCTGTACAGAGGGAGTGAACACATGGTTAATGGCCATGGCTGGAAGATAATTTTACCCTCTTTATCAGGTTTTGCATGTCCTATGGATCAAGAATTGTCTATGACACAACCAAGTCACTGTGGCTCCATCAACCAGTGTGTTACCTGAGCTGTAGTAGCTCTCAAAATGGTACTTTTAACCCATAGCAAGTGCAAACCATTTAAAGGCTGTTAAGCTCACCTATATTACCTTAAACTTGTAACAGACTAAAAGCAAATGTGAGCCAGTTACTATGATTCAGCTGATAGTAGCACTTTTCTAATCTAAAATAATTTGAATGTGTATTTGAATACTCAGTGACCTAACTTAAGGGAACAAGCCTCAGAGTTAAGCAATTTAAAGAAACTTTTACAGCTTTTCACAGAATCATAGAATCCTTAAAGTTGGAAGGGACCTTAGAGATCATCTAATCCAACCCCCCTGCATACACAGGGTCACCTAGAGCACATGATACAGGGCAGTATCCAAGCGCATTTGGAAGATCTCCAAAGAAGGAGACTCCACAACCTCCCTGGGCAGCCTGTGCCAGGGCTCTGTCACCCTCACTGTCAAGAAATGTTTCCTTAAGTTCCTGTGGAACTTTTGGTGCCTCAGTTTGTGGCCGTTTCCTCTAGTCCTATCACTGTCCACCACTGAAAAGAGGCCGCCCCCTCCTCCTCACTGCCTCCCTTGAGGTATTTCTACACACTGATCAGGTCCCCCCTCAGCCTCCTCTTCTCCAGACTGAACAGGCCCAGCTCCCTCAGCCTTTGCTCATAGGGCAGATGTTCCAGGCCCCTGATCATCCTCGTAGCCCTGCGCTGGACTCTCTCCAGCAGCTCCACATCCCTCTTGTCCTGGGGAGCCCAGAACTGGACGCAGTGCTCCAGGTGGGGCCTCACCAGGGCTGAGTATAGGGGGACGATCACCTCCCTCGACCTGCTGGAGACGCTTTTCTTAATGCACCCCAGGATCCCGTTGGCCTTCTTGGCCACCAGGGCACACTGCTGCCTCATGGTCATCTTGTCATGCACTGTGATGCCCAGGTCCCTCTCTGCAGAACTGCTCTGCTGAAGGTCAGTCCCCAGCCTGTACTGGTGTCCGGGGTTATTCCAAAGGGTTATTGCATTTGCCCTTGTTGAACCTCATGAGGTTTCTCACCGCCCAGTCCTCCAGTCTGTCCAGGTCCCTCTGGATGGCAGCACAGCTCTCAGGGCTATCAGCTGCTCCTCCCAGTTTGGTATCATCGGCAAACTTGCTGAGGGAGCACTCCAGCCCTTCATCCAGGTTGTTAATGAATAAGTTGAACAGGACCGGACTGAGGACCGACCCCTGGGGGACACCACTAAGTACAGGCCTCCAGCTGGACTCTGCGCCGCTGATCACCACTCTCTGAGCTCTTTACATTCCTAATGTTTATGATGTTTTATTTTGCCTCTGTAAGATAGGGGACAAAGCACAGCCTAAGCAGGCTGGCTCTTAAGACACATGCACAAGTAAGAAGAGAAAGTGTCTGGCTCCCCCTGCCATATATCAGACTAAATAGAGCAGGTCATGGCTAACCAGCAGAGCTTGGGAAGGTAACCAGAGTGGGCAGAAGGTCAACCCATCAGCTCCGTCTCATGCTTTTACCCAACAGATCATCATCCAAAGGTAAAACGTCACTGAGCTGCATACATCTTTTATTATCTTGCATCTCTTTAGAATTAATCTGCTAAACCTCAGCCTATAACCATGGTAGAAATACTTAAATGGCTTTTCTCCCAGAAAAAGAAACTGGACATGTCAGTGAGACCAGGAGAATTAGTTTCAGAGAAGTAATAACAGCTCATTTTTTCATTTCCTAGTAGGGTTGCTTCCCCTTTAAAGTAAAGTTATCAGAAATTGACATTTTATCAATCCGTATATTTGGGAAGGAAGTTTTGCTGTGTGCCATTGATTTACCCTGGTCTTAGAATAAATGCAGGGGACTTCGCTATGCTGAATAAATTCTGGGGCACCACTGGAGTGAACAGGCTGAGCAGGGTGGCAGAACAGCACTGCACCTACCTTCACTACTGGGCCTACTGGGAACCCAGTACAGCACTCAGGAGCCACAGCACCCAAGTCAAACCGAGGGAGCCTTAAGTTGTCAAAGCAGGAATTGGGGTTTTTTCTGTTTGTTTCTTTGCCTTGTGCCCAAATGTGCATATAATCCATGACAACTGTGAGAAATCCAAAGACTGGATGTCCCATATTCATATTTCAAGTGCCCAAGTTGCAAACAGATCAGCTAGTAGCAGAATTGAAGAGCAGCCTGTAATGCTCCATTATCTTTTCAATTGGTATGATTTTAATGTTCAGAGATGGAAACCCAATGTCAAACGCAATAAAAACGTAACATGAAACAGATGCCGTCTAGACTATTAATGTAATCTCGCTTTTGGAGAGCTCTTTTTACCTGCAGATCATGAAGTGATTTACAAATTATGTCAATACCATTTTACAGATGGGAAAAATGAGACAGTAACCGATTTGCTCAGTGCCTGTGTGCACACTGGGCCTACAGGCTTCGTTTCTCAGTCCCTCTCAGTCCCATCGCTTTTTCATTACACTAGAAAGCCTTAATATGAGAAATAAATTTACATATTACATAACTAACATTTTTTTCCTGAAAAAAATAATGTTAAAATAGAAATAGAAATAGATAAGTCACAAGTCTCTACAATAAAGACTAGGTAAAAGAAGGGTGATGGAGGGAGCCAAATATAAAATCTATTTTCAAAGCTACATCTTCTTTCCGTTCCTCATCTGTTTCAGTACTATTTTTGTCCAGATGTACTTAAGTTGATTATTTCAACTCCAGATTTATTAAAATATGTAAAAGTCTGCTGAAAAAAAATTACAATGAAAACATGAAGATCCAAATTTTGAGGGTAACTGTCAGAACAACAATTACATCAGCTTTTAGTTACATATTCATATATTCATGGCATGACCATGCTATCAGCTGAGAAGTCTGCTAACACTGAACAGTCCCTTGTTCTGCTTTGCAGAGAAGTTTATAAGATGAACTGATGATTATGACCATGCTAATACTGCAGTGGAACATTAAAGTACACATGGCAGCTAAGAGTAGTCTTTGGTCTGAGCTAGGCAGCACAATTCCAGCACACAAAAGCCCAAGAAGCACAAAATTCTCTTCCTGTTTATTTTAATCTGACCCATAAAAAGTTAGGAAGCTAACTAAGATGCACCAAAGAATAGCAGTGACCATTAGTAAGCAGTTTCAAACTTCTACAAATGCACAGAAAATGTTTTTTTCTACTTTATCACTACCACTTCTAGTAAGAAACTTATTAGCCCCTTTCCTTTCTCCCCACTCCCCATTCTCTCCACCTCCCTTCTGACCATCTACTTGATCAGAATTCTATTACGACAACCAAAACTTCATTCTAAAGAGAATTTGCAGTTCAAAAGAGACAAGCAATCAGAATACAGTGCCAGCAGGTAAACAGAGAACAGGAACTATTTGCCTCATCCCAGTTGAAAGTCAAGAGTCCACAAAAGCATGTCCACAAAGTATGTCTCTGATTCCCAGTGATTCCCAGTGACAGGTAACCCATGCCTCTGGACTATCAAGCACTAGCTACCATACTCCTTGGTTGAGCTTCAAGAAGAGGCTTCGGACAGGACTTCG